TAAATAATAAAAAAAAGTATTTTCTTATTGACTTTACAATGAGAACCACGTTATCACAGGACACCGTTATGCCTGAATTATTCACCATTTTGTGTGTGGTGGATAAATTATTGTTTTAATTGAAATGTCGGGCACAACAGATCATTGCTGCTTAGCTTCTCTGCTTTTTCCTGCCGCGTGTGGGCAGAAGGAACGAAGCCTTGTTCGAGGCGCGTACTCCATTCATTTCTTTCCAGTTAAATTTCGTGTTTGCGAAATTTAGTTTGTAATCCCCTGTGCACGTGTGTGCTTCCGATCAAAGGCAAAGGCATCCGGCGACAGAAATAATAATAATAATAGAAACAGAAGGACATACGAGACATAGGGACTGGGGGGGCGGGAACAGAATAACAAGGATGTTTGGCTTTTCGCAAGAGATGAGCGGCATGCTCAACGCCTTTATGAGTGAAATACCTCCTGGCTTCTCTCATCTGGGTGGGCGTCGTAGAAAACAGCAGGTTTCGTATTCATTGCCTGTGACTTTAAGCGACATGTACAATGGCAAGTCAGTTGAACTTCCATATTCCCGTACCATTGCATGCATCTATTGTGAAGGGTGTGGCACAAATAGGAGGAAGAACACTGTCTGTCGGGTTTGCGAGGGTGCAGGTTGTCGCCCCATTGTGCGTCAAATGGGCATGATGATGCAACAAATGTCTGTGTCCTGCGATGCATGTGGGGGGTCCGGTCTCAAGGTGGACCCCAAGGATGTCTGTCGTGTGTGTCACGGAAAAAGAACCACGGAAGTGGAATCTACTTTAACTGTGACCGTGGAGCGTGGAATGCATCATCAAGAGGAGGTTGCTTTCCCTGGAGAGGGGAACTTTGATCCGTACACTGGAGAGCCTGGCGACATTGTAATCGTGTTGGAACAAGTGAAAGATGAAAGGTTTGTACGTGAGGAGGATGATCTTCACATAACCCATACACTTACAATGGCGGAGTCGCTCTGTGGGTTTCAATTTACCTTCAAGCACCTTGACGGTAGGGAGCTCCTAGTGCGACGGGAGCGAGGGGAAATAACACGCCCTGGTGAGGTGAAGGTTGTGGTTGGGGAGGGTATGCCACGGCTGCGGCATCCTGGTCAGTACGGTGACCTAGTAATTAAATTTAATGTTGCCTTCCCGGAGAGATTGGAACAATCACAGGTGGATACCCTGCGGAAAGCGCTTCCACCTCCTAAAAGCGTGGATCTGCACCAATACGACGACGTTGAGGAATGCTACGTGTCGAGAGAGGAGCTGGATCACGTCCGGAGGGAGTTGGAAGAAGACGCGAAGGAGGAAGAAGAGGGTCCAAGTGTTGGCTGCGCGGCACAATAGATCCCTCTTGTTTTTTTTTTTGTTGTTGTGGTTTCTTCTGTTTCCCTTTATCTCGCTTTCTATTTCTCTCTCTCCCCACTAGTGGAGCGTCACTTTAATTCTTTCACCGCTAAAAATGTTGTTTATTATTATTATTACTATTATTATTATTATTGCCTGGTAATTATACATGCGGACAAACCGGAGAGAGCCACACGCACACACACGCACAGGTACGTGTGGCATGCTTCATTCTGCACGGGACCAAGCAATACCTGGAGCTTCGCCTGTTTTTAATGTTCCGCAACCACTATCTCTGATAAACATTGCACCTCCAAGCACAGTCTGCTTGCTGTCTATCTGTTTTTTTTTTTTTGCTGTCACTTGAGGTCAAGGCGCAAAATGCCGCCACTGCCGCGGGGCATGGTGATGGTGTCGCGGAAATGCAACGGAGGGAACATCGCCCGCCTCCTGCAGCGGCGTCGGCGCGTTGTGGAAGAGATGGACAATGACGCCTACGACTTTATTTGCGGGAGAGCGTGCGTGTTGTACGTTGATGACCTGAATCGTTTATGTGACGCGTCGTACAGAAGCGCAGTGTCGCAGCGAATCTCATCCTCCAAGACCCAAGTTGTCTCGTCTGGCCGTCGCATTCTTCTGTTGCTGCTGGTGGGCGTAACAGATCCGCGTCCAGATGTGTTGGTTTGGCTCAATCTTCATTGCAGCGTGGAGCTGCGTTGTACCGTAATGTTGTGTTGGACCGAAGAAGAGTGTGCAAGCTACTTGGAGGGCCTGGCAGACAGCTCCGTGGCCTCCGTAGACTACTGCATGACCAGCAAGAAGGAGAGCGCGCCCATCCCGGTACTTATCGAAGCCTTTACTCAAACTCCTCAGCTCATGACGCGCAATGACGTTATTCGCGCGGCTCATCGCTACGGCTCCGTCGCTGAGCTTCTTACCGCGTCTGCCGAGGATTTAGCCTCCCTCCCTGGCTTTGGTCCCAAAAGGGCTGGAAGACTCTACGCCGTTCTTCACGCGGGCTTTCCTGCTTCTTGTCGTCTTGTGTCGGAAGTGCTATCAGAAAGCTTTGAGCCGCACACTGTGGATGAAACACAGGCGGCACCTGGGAGAATTGCGGCAAGGGAAGAGATGCTGAAGGCCCTAAACCAACTACAGCGCCGCGAAATGGAGGATGACTCGCACAATGAGTGAACCTACTTCCACAGTCGGCGGAAGCGCAGGAGGTTATTAAATTTTCTGCCACTATTTGTCTACAACCTCACACTCAAAAAAAAAAATGCACTTTCTGTACTTTATCCTTGTGTGTGTGATTGACGAAGTTGCTTGGCGTTGCTACGGCAGGGTGTATCAATTCTTTTTTTTTCTTTTGTGTTTGTGTGTGGGTTTGCTTCCATGCCACAAGGTGGAGCCCGCAGGTGCACTTATTTGGGGTGGTTGCCTATTCCGCTCTGAGGACGACGCAGTGCCGAAGAAAGCTGAAGGAAAGGCCACTGAAGGGACGAAGGAAGAGAAAGGTAGCCCCTGTGTTTTGGCTCCTCTGCTCACATCTACACACTTTCCTGGTTGTTACTGTTATTTTGTTTCTGCAATGCTGTTGCGTTCGGAGGAAGGGAACGGGTTCAACGAAGAGGATTCCGGAGTGCTGCCAGAGCGCAGTAAGGAGATTATTCAGCAGCTGCGTCTACTGCGCTATGAATGCGCCAGCTGTTTGTGCAACATCCGCCATGATGTGGCTGTATGGTCCTGTAGTGAATGTTTTCGCATTTTCCACCTGTACTGTATAAAAAAGTGGTCCAAGCAGACTGAGAGTGGGGTTGGCTCCTCATTTCGATGTCCACAGTGTCAGGTGACGCAGGAGTCCGTGTCAAAGTATCTTTGCTTCTGTGGAAAGATACGGGACCCACCGTACGACCCACACGTTACACCACACAGCTGCGGTCAGAAGTGTGGCAAGAAGAGGCCATTGTGCGATCACCTATGCCCGGTACAGTGTCATCCGGGGCCATGCCCTGAATGCCCCTTTTTCACTGTCCCAAAGCCATGTCACTGTGGAGCCACCACATATATGTGGCGATGTGGTCAGCCAGATCCACAGAAATCGTGCGACAACGTCTGCTCAAAGAGACTGAATTGCTCTATACACACATGCAAGCGTAAATGTCACGCTGGAGCTTGTGACCCATGTCCTGAAAGGATCTTAGCCATCTGCCACTGCGAGTTGGAAACACGCGAACTCCCGTGTGGTTCCACATCGTTTTCATGTGGACGGGTTTGTGGTAAAACCTTGCGATGTGGTGTTCACGTTTGTGACCTATTCTGCCATTCTGGTGCCTGTCCCCCGTGTGTTAGGGATCCTTCTATTATCGTAACTTGCCCTTGCGGTTACGTACCTTTAACTGTTATGAGAACACGATGTAGTGACCCTATTCCCACGTGTGGAAAGTCGTGCGGACGTGTATTGGACTGTCAACGTCACACTTGTCAGGCTTTGTGTCATGAAGGGGCATGTGAGCCATGTCAACAGCGTGCCCTAACTAAATGTGTCTGCGGCGCCACACAAAAGCTAGTGCCTTGTACAGCACAAGATGGTTTTTGTTGCAATATCATCTGTAAGGCAAAGTTATCATGTGGGAAACATACATGTCGTGCTAAGTGTTGCCCAGCTCGGAAGCAACAAAATAGCGTTGTGCATCAGTGTAACCAAATATGCAACAAGAAACTTCATTGCGGTCATGCCTGTCTGGAGGCTTGCCACCGTGGGATGTGCCCTCCTTGTGTTCATGTGGTTCCAGAGCGTCTGGTGTGTCGCTGTGGCGCTGAAGTTTTGATGCCGCCGCAACCGTGTGGAACCCCTCCACCAACTTGCAGGCGAGCTTGTACGCTGCCACTCTCTTGCAACCACCCATCCGTAAAACACAACTGCCACTACGGTGAATGCCCTCCATGTATGTTTCCTGTAGAGAAAATATGTGTTGGTGGGCATACCGTGGTGAAGAATGCTCCTTGTAGTGCCGCGTTTGTGTGTTGTAGTTCCAAATGTGGAAAATTGTTGGCTTGTGATCACGCATGCCCCCGCGTTTGCCATCCTGACCTTTGTATGGATGAGCAACACCCTTGTCTTCAGCTCTGTGGGAAACTGTACGCCGAGTGCGGGCATGCCTGTAAGGCAAAGTGCCACTTCCTGAAGGCGTGTCCGCCGTGTACCGAGACGGTGGTATGTCGTTGCCAGTGTGGACGGCAAACGCGGCATGTTCCGTGCAGGAAATTTCTTCGTTACGTGCGCGAACACGCCGGCGAAGGCATGACTATAAAGTGCGATGCGGATTGTCTTTTTAATCGACGACTTGATATATTGGCTAGACGATGTAAACCGTCCGTGCCGTCACTCCCAACGCCGGTGAAGTATTCTTTGTTGTTGTGGGACTTTGGAAGCAAAAATCCCACGTGGGTTGGCACAATAGAGGAGGAATTGGAGCGTTTTGTGTCAAGCCATGTCCCACTGGTATCGTTGAAGCCGATGCCTCCAGAAAAACGCGCAGTTGTTCACTCCCTCTGTCACTATTATCATATTTTTTCTGAGTCTGTGGATGCGGAGCCCAACCGATCCTGCCTACTTACAAGGACGGCGGCAACATCGCTCCCTGCCCCGTTGCTCAGTGCGGCTCTCGCCGACCCTGACACTAACAATCCACACACGTTTATCCAACAGATCTGTGAGAATGGGGAAGAGGGGATGCGGGAGCATGTTCTTCTTATGGAAGGGGAGAACGTGAACGCCGTTGTCGTCTCTCGCATTTTGCATGACTTTGCTGGGGAATTTGTTTGTGGGGCAGAGGAGGCAACCCGGGACGAGAAGAGACGCATGCGGGTGTACTTTGTGCATTCATCACGGCAGCAGCAGGCGTACCGTCACCTGCGCTCCGTCAGGCCTCCGTTTGAAGTGTATCTGCCGTCCCGCCCAGGCGAGGAAATCACTGCGTGTGCCCATCCCCCCAGCTCCATCTCCTGGGCAAAGTTGGTTTGCTCCAAGACAAAAGGCGATTTCGAATAAACGATAACAGTTATTAAAAGAGAAGAGAGAGTGACGATTGGGAAAGGTGCAAGAAATGTTTTTAAAAAGACATGGGGGGAAATAGTGTAAAGAAATGTTACCTGGAGATGCTTCCGTGTTTTGTTTCCTTCGATTCTTTCTGTGACACGTTAACTTCTTCTTTTGCCCCGCGTACATCTTCACTTATTATTATTTTTTTGCTGTGTGGGTGGGTTTCACCCTCACCCAGCCTAGTGATAGGGGCGGGGGGTGGGGAGTAGGCGGTGGCGATGAAGGCCTTGGTTGACGCTGAAGGTGCGGCACAGAGCGTGATTCCGGGAAATCCTGCATGGGATGGGCGGGGGGGAGGGTGGCAGCCGCCGCCGAGTCCGTGGGGTGCAGACCCCCCTGTTGTGGAAAAAGACGTGAGCGGTGGAGGTGGCAACACAGATGAGGGCAAGCAGGTGCATGCGGGGGACTCCCAGCAAGGTGCAACCCACGAGCACGCCTGCCTGCCAATGCCACCTGTTTCGGCGGCGGCGGCGACACACCCTGCCGCGGGACCTCTTAATTTTACGGCCCTAACCGACGCAACGCCGCAAGGGGAAGGACCGGTAGCACAGCAGTCACCTTGGCATCCGCCACGTTTGGTGCCCACAGCTTCCGTCATTGTGGATTCCGAACAGATGCCGGAAATGCCGGAGGTGAAGTTGTATGCTTCGCCACTGCGAGTGAAGTCTCCAAGTAACCCTCCAGACATGAAAGATGTTTCTTGTCCAACGCGTGAGAGCGTTGCAGCTGCCTTGCAAGCAGGCGATAATGCGTCCACCTGGAGTGCATTTTTGGAGCTAAAAACAAGAACGGAGGACTCCGTGTCTCGCATGACATCCTTTTACGATCAAATAGTAAAGCTTCAGCTCACACACGAACAGGAGGCGGCGGCGTACCGCGATGCGGCGGAGACGATGATTCATCAGCAACGCAAAGCCGTGGACGCTCTTTCGTTAGACTGTAAGAAGGCGCAATCCGCAAAGGAGAGTTTACAAGCTCTGCTGGCGACGAAGTCCCAACAGCTTATGGAGTTTGAGAATGCAAACTACACACTTAACGTACGACTGCGAGAGGCGGAACAGCGCATTGCCCACGTGAGCGATCGTGCGACCGTAGCGGAGACGGGTCGAAAGATTGCAGAAATACACGTCAAAGAGCTTGAGGCGTCGCTGGAACACACCACAGAGTTGGTGAAGGCTCTTCGCCAACGGCTGAGCGAGTCCACTCGGGACAAGGAGGATGCCCTTCAGGCACAGTATAAGGTGTTTGAGGAAAACCGCCGTGATATCATTCACCACTACGACGCGCGCGAGCGGGCATTGGTGCAGGAGTTTAACGACACAGTGAGGAGTATACAACAGACGATGATTCAAAAAATGAAGGAGCGGGAGGAGCATCTGTCAAGGTATTGGCAGGACGCGCTGCGACTTCAGCACCAGCAACAGCAAGACTTTTTAAGACAGGTGACACTGTCGAAGGAAAGGGACGAGAAAGACTACCAGGCAAATATTGTGCGCGTGGAACAAGACAAGGAGCGCTGGTATGATCAGTATCGAAGTGAAATGAGTCTTTTGGAGCAGCGACACAGAGAACGAGAGCAACATATCCTGATGGACATTGCACGAAGGGAGAGAGAGCTTGGGGAGCGAGAGCAGAGGATGCGGCTGCAGCACGCTCAGGAAGAACAGGAGTCCAAAGTGGCACTGGCCTCAAAAGATGCAGAACTTAAGGCTTATTATCAAAAAATTACGGAGGACATGCGTGTCTCGTTTGACAAGGAACGAGAGAAGTTAACCGCATCTTTTCGTGAACAGGTGCAGGAGCTGTCGCAACTGCACCTGAATAATGAGAGAGAGCTGGAGAGGATGCACCGGGACAAGGAGCGAGAGATGGCGCAGCGGTATCGTATAGCAGGTTACGAGGTGGATGATCGCAAAGGCGAAGTCAAACTCCGTGGGGTGTCACTGCAGGCGCAATCAGCACTTTTGTCCAAGTTTGACGCGATTGAAGCGCGTCAGCGTGAACGTGCCGAGAAGGCGCGAGCCGCTTTCCACACCACCTCCTCTCCCAACACATCACCTTCGCTTCCTGAAAAGGAGGAGGAGGAGTGACTTACTCTGAGCTCCTTGTGTGCGGTGCATCTTCTTTTTGCCTTTGCGTTGTTGTTCTCTCTCTTTCTCTATCTTTCTCTCTGTCCGTGGGAGAGAGGGGGTGCTTTCATTATGAAACCACAAACAAAAACAACAACAAAGAGAGAGAGGAAAAAAAAAAAAACTTGGTAACCATCCTCTCCTGTATCTGGAGAGGCAGTTTGAAGTTT